TGGAGAGGAGGCGAGGAGGAGGGGCAGCAGTACTGTAGCTGCACTGCTAGTACTAGAGGTGGAGAAGGGGGATGTCCGCCTCTCCCACGCTGCCACCCATAACTGGCAGAGCCTTGAGCTCAGCGTTGTCACATGACAAGAGGAGACGAGGCAGCAGCGAGGGGTCGTGCCCTGGGAGCGGATGCTCACTGCCCACACGTCAGCGCCCACCTGCCCACCTGTGACAAGCTGCAAGGAAGCCACGTGAAAATCAAGTGCAGGTTCCGAGGGGAGCCTGACAGGGAACCGCGGTTCTGACTAACACTCCTCTCTCAGGCTTCACACGGGGAGTCCTCTCCCCACACCAGGACATCCTTGATCATGGTGGGCAGGGCTGAGCCACGTCCAGGACAGACACGGCTTGGCCACTGAGGCTCAGACCACGAGACGGCTTCAGGAAGCACGAGACATGGCACCGCTGCACGGCGAGGACGCACACAGAGCCTTTTCTTGGCTCATCCCATGACTTATGTTACAGAATGTTCCAGAAAGAGTCCTTTAGAGACTGGATCCCAGGGCACTAACTGAAGGGCCACCTGGCCAGGACACGATACTTGGGTGGGAGACAATGGAACCCTCTGGCCACTCTGAGACGGTCCTGCAGAACAAAGGGCACTTTCTCTGGACGCTGAAGACTCCTTAGCACAGATGGCATCTGCTGAGGGTGGGGGAAGGGCACAGGGTGCAGCACAGCCTGGGTCCTCATGGGGTCCTTTCTCCCCGGAGCCGGAGCAGTCAGCTCAGTGAATTCGGTCCAACCTGAAGATGGCTGAGCCCGGCAGCAGGATACAGCAGCCGCCCACACTGCTGGCCGCCATCCAGAAAGCCACGGGGCGCTGGAAATAGCATCAGCAAAGGCATCTGCAGGGAGCACCTCAACAGTGGCTGAAAATGTGGGTCACTGCTGGGCCCTCGGGGAGTGGCGCCTGACAGTGCCAACACTGGGCTCAGTCAGGAGGTCTGGTGACACCGTGGAGAGCAGGGCAGTTAGCCAAAAGGTCGCCAGTCCAAATCCACCTGCTGCTCTGAGGGAGACACATGTAGAAGCCCCAGGGGGCAGCTGGGCTCTCCTGCAGGGTGGCCGGGAGGAGGTGGGCCATGAGGGAGGGAGTGTAGCTGGGCTCTCCTGCAGGGTGGCCGGGAGGGGCAGGGGGCAGGGGCCATGAGGAAGTATGTTTAGCTGATTTGTTTTGTTTGGCTCAGGCTTAAATCACATGATTATATACTAAGCAAGGGAGGTCCAGTGGCCTAGTGGTAAGGAGTTGCGCTGTCAACCCAGAGGACCATAGTTCAAAGACACCAGCTGCTCTAAAGTAGAAACATGGATCAACCCCTCCTGTGTGACCGTCTGCCGCTGAAAACCCGCTGGATGGGCAGCTATAGGTCAGTTCTGACTTGACAGCACACAACAACAACACATTCTAACCAACGATGGTCAGTCAGGTAAGTCAGTCTGGAGCTGTCCACACAGCGGCCACTGGCTACAGGTTTTAGTTTAAATGAACTAAAAACATAAAGTTACAGGAGCTCTGGTGGCATACTGTGTTAGGTGCTGCGCTGCTAACTGGAAGGTCAGCAGTTCAAAGCCACTAGCCACTCCCCTGGGAAAAGACGGGTAAGATCTGCATTGTTGCTATCACTGTCACAGGGGCTGAGAGGCCAGCTCCCTCTCAGTGTGACCCCGCGTACGACAGACCGGACACGGCCTCCTCACACGGTCTGCTGCGCTCGAGCCTCTGCTGCGGTCAGGGACTGTCCACCTGGTTCAAGGTCATCCTCTCTTTCTCTGACTCTCTACTTCCCGAGTACGATGCCCTTTTCCAAGACTGGCCCCTCCTGAGCACATGGTGTGTGAGGCGGTCTCCCCTCCCTTGCCTCCAAGGAGCACTCAGGCTGCATTTCTTCCAAATCCGTCTGTTCATCCGGCGGTCCATGATGCAGTCAATACTCCTGGTCAGAAGCACCACGCAAAAACACCGATTCTTCCTCAGAAACCGGATGGAGGGCCTGTGTGGGCAGGAGTAGATCTGAGAGCAGTGGGTTTGATCTTCTGATTAAACGTAAGCAAAAGCTGACACTTCAGCCTCACCATCCCGCTCGCCACGTTTCAGACTCGGCAGTCCCATGAGGCCAGTGGTCACTGTGTCCAACAGACCGGAAGCTGAGTATGCTCACTGCTGTGGGAGCATCAGGGGTGCAGTGCAGCCGAGAAGCTTACATTTCGGTCCAAACTCCCGCTCCGCAACCTCGTGACCAAGCCTAATGACCACTAGTCCTGCATCAAGCAATCAGTATCTGAACCTCAGTTTCTGCATCTGTGCAATGGGGCAGCTGTCAGCATCCAACGAGATGATGTCAAGATTTAGCCAGAATGCCCCGCCACAGACCAGCGATTTCAAAGCGTCGTCACCATCACTCAGAACTCTTCCCTGGCTCTCCTCCTCTGGTAACAGCCTGAATGACACTCAGGGACTCAACTTTGTATAAAATCTCCCAGTGACAATGTGGCCGGTATTATAGCTTTCACTCAAGAGCCACTTCCTATGGTTTCCCAGGGGACAGATGCGGAGCTGGGTACAGTGGTTACAAAACATACAAATGACAGAAAGCAGAGCTATCCTGAGGCCAGGCTGGTGAGACCGTGGAGCGTCCGAAACAGGTGCTGAGCTTGGGACCCTTCATCTTCCTGAAGAAGCAAAGTGTCCCCAGGTGTCGCATACAAGGTGAGAGCTCAGGGGAGGAGCGAGGGATGAAACCAGGAAGGTGACAAGTCCAGAGATGAACGGCTTCCAGGAAAGGGTCTGCCGAGGAAGTGGCTGACTCCAGTGAGACAGGAGACCTCAGACAGAGACCGACCCCGTTTCAGCACCTCCCTCCATTGGTCAAGGTTAAAAGCACAGGTGCTTCCCAGGCAGCAGTCTATGTGAGCTATCAGAGAGCTGAGGAAGAGCATGGTGGCCAATGTCCTCAACCGGGAGTGAGAAGCCCAAGGGCCTGGCCCTGCCTCGAGTCCTGAGCCCCCAGTGACTCAGGGTCAGTGGTAACAGTGTTCCAGGGCCTCCAGGAACCCCACTGGGGAGTAGGAACGGTGTGCACACACAGAAGAGCGGCACTCAGGGGAGAGAGCCAGCATGGGACAAAAGCCGGGCCGGTGTGGGTGTGGCAAGGACAAGGGGCCCAGGAGAACACAGCAGTCCACGCTACAGCCACTGAACATCTGGAGCTTTGGGTACCACACATGCTTATCTGACCTCATCTTACAGTCAGAGCTCCGCTCCTGAGAACTTCAAATACACACAAAAGTGTTGTGTGTGTAGATGCATGCACGTGCGTACCTGCGTACACTCATAGGTCCCAAACACCACATATTCCGTGATAAATGGCACCTGCTTAAAAATAACCCTTGATCTGTCCCTTCCTCCCATGCTCAAGTGGGGCCATGCAAGGGAGGAGGTCTGAGCTGTAGCTGTGATGAAACTGCCATGTTTGACAGGAGTCACGTAACTCATTTGCAAAGGTATTTAAAGGTTTGTAACAAAAGCAGAATTCTTCTTTAATGTTATGCTAATACTTGGTAATAAGGTAAAACCGTCACTTGTGGGTTTTGAATAATGAATATTGAAACTCGAGGTCTGATAACATCAACCTTTCCTATTATGCAAAGCTCACATAAAACTCATGGTGGCAGATGTGGGGGGAGTGAGTGTTACAGAGAGAAAGATGGACAGACGGACAAAACTCACAGGAGGGGGGTGTGTGTGTGTGTGTGTGTGTGTGTGTGTGTGTGTGTGTGAGTATGAGAGAGAGAGAGAGAGGAAGGGAGAAAAGGAGAAACAGACAGACACATAGACAATGTAAAAGAGAGGAACAACATGTCAGCATGCTCCCATACAGACAAACCCAGGCCAGCTTTGAGGGTAACACAATATCACTCAGCAGCCCAGACTCCAGTTCTCATCACCCCTGTCTTTCTCAGTGACACAGTGTTACTGACAACATTACAGCACCGACACACCCTTCCTGGTGTGACAGAGAGTCGGGTCTCACAGAAACCCAGTCCCACTTCCAACACCAAACCCGTGCTTTCCTACAATCATGAATGACAGCCCTCAGGGCTGAAGGGAAGCACTCACCACTTTGAGTTCTGGGACAGACCGGCTTAACGTCCATTCCTGGCTGTTCACAAAGGCATCTGTAAAACAGCAAGGTGAAAGCAGAGGTCAATGCTGTGATCCATATAAGGGTCAAGTTCAAACACTCATGTGCCATTTCCTAAACCGCAGAGACACCAAAGCCCACCCAGCCTGCTCCATCCATCCACTCTCACTCACACGAGTGCCATGACACCTGTCAAAGATTGTGTTCCAAAAAATACATCCATGGAAAGATACAATGTAGAAACTGTATGATGCTCCTAGATACATAAACCAAATAGTGATAAAAGGATTAAAGGAGGAAGTCAACACCCTTTAATCCCACCAAAACCTTAACCCAAGATAAAGGTGTTTCTCCAGGGTGTGGCTTCTACACCTTTTACCTCACAAGATATGAAAGGGAAGGAAAGGAGTCAAGGGATCTTGACCTCATCGAGAGTCACCAGGAGGGGAGGGTGTCTATTTGAACCCAGAAGCTCTTCCCTGACTCTGGGAAGACTAAAACACTTGGAGATCACCAAGGAACACCTAGCCTACAGGTGCTGAAGAAACATGGACTTGCCTTTACAACACACAGGAAGCAAGAGCAGGCCTTCCATAGACTGGCACTCGGCATCTGAACCCCCAGCTAAACTGTCAGAGAATAAATTTCTGTTTTAAAGTCATAACTCGTGACAGCAGCACCAGGTAACTATGACAACAGCCAGCGTCTTTCAGCTGAGCTCTCAGAAGCAAATCACCAGGCTTGTCTTCTGAGGCACCAAGCAGGCCCCACCTGCTGGCCTTTATGTCCACCCTCCACACGCCCACAGACTCTGAAAACCAGGTTTACGAGAGTAACACGTAGGAACCTAACAACCGTGTGCTTTAATCAGTGAGGGTCGGGGGCAGGGGGCCTGGGAAATCATCTATGAGGAACCAGGCCTGAGGGCATTAAACACTGCCAAAAGGCCACATGTAATGAGAAGGCTTTCTGGTCATTGTTACTTTTTGGTACCTTTTACACTTTATACCACCTGGCTGAGCTGCTACACAAAATAAATTAGAAGTTCGTTTTTAGATAAATCTAGTAATAAAGAAACCAACCCACTGCCCTCCGGTCACCTGGCTCCCAGTTCCCCTCCAAAGGGTTTCCTAGGCTGTAAATCTTAAGGTGGAGATTGCCCACCTCTCCCCCACAGAGAAACCACCGGCAGGTTAACACATCACACACAACACCACCAAGGCTCTTCAAAACAAAGACGATAAATGAGAGAAACAAACCACAAAGCACCACCGTGTCGATTCTGACTTGCAACAGCCCCAGAGGATGGGGCAGAACTGCCCGTGGGGTTCCTAGGGCTGGGCACCCTGCTGGAAGGATGTACCCGCCTCAATTCCCCCAAAGTGAGGAAAAGTCAAATCCCTGAGGTTTCGTTTAGATGTTCAAGGAATGCTTAGTCCACGGTGCCACCAGAACTCCAGAAGGTGACGTGTGAGTAAAATAAGCTCCCGTCATTAGCATGCTGCTGGCTTTTATACACAGACCATGTGACCACGACACGTTAAACGAGCAGTATCAAGTAAGCCGGGGCCTTCACATAGATGAGAACCATAACATAAACATGTGGATGCTGTGAACAGGCCTCTCTGCATTCCATCCTCCTCAGTGCCAAATATGCTTGTGATGATGTTGGCAACTAGGCTGAGAAGCGCTCGACTTCACGGGGAAAACTCACCTTTTGATAAAAACATCCCTTTCTAAACCATTTACTCCCCTTGCCAAGGGCCTCCCCACGCTAGCACTACAGGTTATAGCGCACAGGGACCCTGCAGGACACAGGAGGCCTACCCCAGAGGGGGCCTACCCCAGAGGGGGCCTGCCCCACAGGAGGCCTGCCCCAGAGGAGGGCTGCCCACTCTCGGATCCTGTCCCTCACACCCCATAGTCACAAAACCAGCACACTCCTCTAGTTTCTGCCTCTTCTGAGCAGAGCAGGGAGGTGCTGGGCTGCTGGAGCCAGCATCTCTCAAGAAAGGGTCTTGTCTCTCCAAAGTTTCATAAAATCATTGACTCTTAGTGCTTGCTGCATAGTATTCCATTGCCATGGTGATTAACCGTATAAATTATAATGTATATAAAACACAAAGTACATGTACAAAATACAATGGATACGAATGGTTATATACAAATGTATATATACACATACACACACACACACACACACACACATATGAAACACCTTACAAGCTTTCCCCTCTACACCCCAAACTTCCCCTCCTACTAAGAGAGATCCCATGTCTACGGGCTCCCAAGAATCATGGCACCTTCCAGGCAGGACGCTGCCCCTAGCCCATGAAATGCTCTTCAGAACCACCATGGAGAGAGAAGTGGGGAGCAGTGTGGTAACCTTCCGGCCTTTGTGCCCCCAGGTCATGACAGAGAGGACCCCGCACACAAGAAAGGTGTGCCTGGCACTGCAGAGAAGACCAACAAGATACACAAAAAACCCCAAGCCTTTTGTTCCGGGGAGGCTCGGTTTGTGTCCCTCCACCAGGCTGTCCTAACTGTCTCCTGACAACTCCTTCTCCATACTCTGCTCACTAAAGGACCTGGAGCTGTCCACTGCCAGGCTCTGGACTCAAGATCTGTTTCATGGAACACTCGGCCACAAAGTGTCCCTGGGACTCTTGGGCCCTGGTCAAGCTGCATGCAAAAGTACATTCTGACTGGTGAGCCGATGTGTTCTTGTTCTGAAAAGCCCTGAGCATAGACAGGACACAGACGTCTGAGGAACGGGGGTTGATTCCCAAAGCTTCATTACGTTCATGCTGCTGCTAACCGCTAAGTCAGCAGTTCAAATCCACTAGCTGGTCCACGAAAGATGTGCAGAACCCTCTCGTGAAAGATTCAGGGCGTTGGAACCTCAATGGAGGAGGGTTTTCCTGAGCTGGGACCCGGCTCGGTGACAGTGGACTGGACTTTGGAGGAGGAAAAGGAGCACTGTTAACCACAAGGCCAGCAGTTCAAATCCACCAGCCAGCTGCTCTGAGGAAAATGCGCATTCTCTTCTCATAATGATCGACAGCCTTGGAAACCTGATGGAGGGTCTAGTTGGGGTGACTCAACAGCTGTGAGTTCGGGGTACACCAAGCTTATCTACTAAGGTCAATTTTGTCAGCATAACCAGTGAACAGATGAATTCAAATTGTACCGGCTTTGTCTTCTGCTGGTCCCCATCCTGCCCTGCTCCCGTGACACTGATATTTCCCCCTAAACAGAGCAGTGGACACTGGTCGCTCCCCAGTAAAAGCTGGTCTTTACAACACCAAACAGTGCAACTTCCCCACCACCTTTAATTTGGCTCAGGGACAAATGGCTACAAGCATTTTTCTTTTTTCAAAAAGACCTTTTGAAGGGGAACTGCCCACAGGGCTGTGGCCTCCGCACTGTCCACCTAAAGAGGAACGACAAGCTTGCTGACACTGAACAGAATGCATGCAGGCGACGTGATGGAGCCTCACTTGTGTTTATGATGGGACTTGGGAGGCTAAGAGGGTTACTGCATCTGCGCCAGCTCCTGAGAGAACGGGGCACGGAGCGGACTAAGAGGCCATGGCAGGACAGAGCGGGTAAGCTGCCGAAAGCCACAGGAGCCCGGAGAGAAGCTAAAGCCCCATCTCTGCCCCCACAGCATTCTCAGCATGCATGCCTCTGCTCCCTGCCACACTCACCTGGGATGCCCAGCACACCTGGCCACAGGTGGGCAGCCCCTGGACGGCCCAAACCAGCACAGCAAGAGTCCCCAGTCTGATAACGCCCCATTGCCCCATTGCGTTTCTCAAGCTGAGTGTTAGACTCAAAGCTGCCTTCGCTCCTGATGTGCTAAGAAGATGCTGCAAATGTTAACTTCCAGCAGCTGGGATTTCTCAGGAAATGTGGGAAGGAGGCAGGATGGGAACCAATGGGGTCCAGAACCCTGACCCTGAGCCCCCCTCTCCCATCTGACCAGCTCCCCCCACCCCCTGCAGAAGAAAGCACAGGGGAGGGGAGTTAGGGGAAGGGGCTCAGAGGCCCTGGGCGTGGCTTGAATCTGAGGGAACTTACTACCCCTCTGACATCAGTTTCCTCATCAGGTAAATGGAAATACAGTCCCCCTGCTATTCAAAACCAGAGCACACCCACAGGACCATCCACAAATCAGAGGGCATGAAGTTACACAGCCATTATCATTACTGAACTGGCGGCAGTTCCGAACATTCCCCGAAAACCGAGTCCACTCTACTGAGTCAAGTTCAACTCAGTGCCCTCCATCAGGTTTCCTCCAATCCTTCATCTCAGGGAGCGGGGGGTGGGGGGATGGACAAAGAGGGGGTTGGGGAGATCACGGTGCCCAAACAAGGGTGACACAGCCTCAGCCCCAAAGAACTAGAGGGATCAGGGGCAGAGTCTCGCCTTCCATGCAGGAGGCCCTGGATGCGCCCCCGCCAGGTCCCCCCACGCCTGGCCATATCTCAGGGCATGCATGCTTGTGTTGCTAGAATGCTGAACGAGTGAGTCTCAGCAGAGCAGCTAAACTCAGTCTAAGAAGAAAGTCTAGGGGATTAACCTGCAAGAGTCAGCCAGTAAAATCCTTCTGGCTCCTGGTCCTGCCATCCCCAGAGGCTGGTGTTTAGGGCACAGGAGCAGGCCGCAGTTCTGCTGGGCATGGGGTCACCGTGAACAGAGGGGGCAACCTGGCTGCAGGTTCACGGCAGAGTCAGGGAGCCCTGCAGTTTCTAATCATGCCTCCGCGTTGATGGCATGCTCAGCCCCTCTGCAGGGTCTCAGAACCTTCTGGTAAAGCCTCCCAACCTGACCCACCGAACAAGGATGGCCCTCACCCTCCCCAGCAGCATCGTGGGCCCCTGTTCGTCCCTCCAGATCATCAACCAGCTGCAGCACTCAGCCACAATTAGAACCCATCACCAGTGTCACAAGACGCCCGTCACACTCTGCCTCGGTCCCATGTGGCTTAAGTGGCCACAAACACAGGTCCCAGACAGGACTCCCAAAA